GTGTCCTTGTCCCAAGGTGTTGGTTTAGTGCTTCAAAACTCTTGGGATCTCCAAAGTGAGCAACATCTTGGTTGTGGCAATGAAGTGACTCAAGAAAAAGCCTAGACAGCTTCAGGCTGGAAGCTGGTCGTTAGGAAGACCAGTCCCGGGACTGAAGGGTTGGAACTTCGGAGTATCGTTCCAAGTAGAATGCAAAAGGATTTCTGAGAGGAGATGGAACTTCATTCAGTCTCATGGCATGCATCATTATGCCAGCATCAATTGTGCCTTTGTTACGAAAGTCCTGGCAGGAACTTTGGGTTCCAGGGCTCTGATATCAGGGAGTGATACTCCCTGATTCCATGCGAACTCATGGAAGCGCTGCCTTCCTCCCAGGCCTTTCACAGTGTGAATCCTTCAAGTAAGGTTTTGATCATAAGTATCTCATTTTTGGGTTTCAGTCCCCCGCCCCCCAACGTCTGCCTCCCTTCCTGATGTCCTGCCTCTACCTGGGATTCCAGGCTTGTATCACTGTGCTCAACTATCCCACCCCAGTGCTTTGAGCCATGTTTGGCATTTGACTAAGTTGGCAAGAAATGTTTGTTGAGTACATTAATGTTTTTCAATTTTGAGCTTTTTTTAAACTAAAACAACAAAGCAGGTATTATATTCTTCTTCAGACAATGACACTAGACACTATAAGCTTTAGGTTATATCTGCCAAGAGCCAATTTGACTGAACCTTGGTGGTCGTAGCCAAGAAAAGTCATATATTAGGACTGGAGAGATGGCTCAGCATTTAATGGCAATTGTTGCTCTTGTAGAATAACCAGAACCCATGTGCCAGCTCATGACTATTGGTAATTCCATTTCCAGGGTCTCTGAACACCTCTGCTGACCCCCTAGGGCACCAATGTGAGGACCTGACTTTGCAAATTCCATTTTTAAGAAGGGGATTCACCTTAAGCCATATAATGGGCAGGGGCCGAGCTCAGCTCCAGAAATGTGCTGCCGTAGCAGACTTTGAACAGATAACCCCCAAAATAGCCAACTAAGGAGCTAGGGAGCAGGGCTATAAAATTTAACGAGGTCCAGATGTTCTTGGGAGGCATCCTGTCCTTGAAGATAACTTGTCAGTTATGCATGGCTCTTTGTTAGGCTTTTGCATCCAAAAACTGACCAACGGTTTCAGAAACTACCTTACCCTGTGCCCTCCTTACCCAATCCCACGGCGACAGGACATGAACTCCCCTGATTATGGTGTTTCCCCTTTGAAAGTTCTACCTTCCCAGGGCTCATGGTCACACTCTCCACACCCACCATGCTAGGGTGCTGGAAAGGTGTTGATCCAAACTTGAGTTTGAATATTAAAAACCCTCGTATAATTTGCATCGGAAACCTGGCTCTGTGAATTCATTTGGGAAGCAGAAACTTGGACATAGCACCATGCAAACATATGGTATAACAGGGCAGGGAGTGCATAGCATAGCACAGGTTCCTCCATCTTATATTCCTGCTGAGGCCATTTCAGTTTTCATTAAAATTCAATTTCTTTGATGGAGAATCCCATGAAAAATTACCCAACTCTATCCTAGGAACCCAAGTTCAGATACCCTAGATAACTTATCTTAGCTTTTTGTGTAGAATCCCCCCTCCAGTTAACTGCTTATCTTAGCTTCTGTTAAACGTCCTGCTTGTGCAAACAACACCAACCCCCAACCCCTACCCCCACTGCACCACCCCCTAGCAGAGAGAGATAATAAGATGTTGCTTTTGACTTTAAAGGCTCCTTGATCTAAATGCTCAGGGTAATACTTAGGACCCAAATCCTAAATGTAGTCCCTCCAGATGGAATAAAGACTTTCTTTTTTTTTATTTGTGTATTACTTGTTTGTTTTTGACAGAGTCTCACTATGTAACCTTGGCTGTTCTGGAACTCACTCTGAAGACCAGACTGACCTTGAACTCACAGATCTGATCTCTCTGCCTCCTGAGTCCTGGGATTAAAGGTAAGCACAACCATACCTTGGTGTGGGACAATTCTGTATTCTGTCAATTATGTTTTAAATAAAGGCTGATTGGCCAATAGCCAGGCAGGAAGTATAGCCAGGACAACCAGACAGGAAGTAGAGGCGGGGCAATGAGAACAGGAGTATTCTGGGAAGGAGGAAGCCCATTCCTCTGCAGTCCTATCCAGACACCGAAGAAGCAGGATGTGACCTGCCCTGCCGAAAAAGTTACCGAGCCATGTGGCTAACATAGATAATAATAATGGGCCAAGCAGTATTTTAATGAATACAGTTTTTGTGTGATTATTTTGGCGCTAAGCTAGTCGGGCGGCCGGGACAGACAAGCAGGCCCTCATGTTACAATACCCAGTAGAGTAAAGATTTTCAATGACCAAAAACTGTGTCTGGGGCTGGAGAGATGGCTCAGTGGTTAAGAGCATTGTGTGCTCTTCCAAAGGACCCGAGTTCGATTCCCAGCAACCACATGGTGGCTCACAACCATCTGTAATAAGGTCTGGTGTCCTCTTCTGGCCTACAGATGTATATGCAAACAGAATAGTGTGTCCATAATAAATAAATAAATATTTTTTAAAAAAACTGTGTCTGAATGTTTGTCTTTGGTGGTCCCCATAACAGTGGTACATATATACAGGCAAAACATTCATGTATATAAAATAAAAATAAATCCTTTTTTTATTTACCCAAGACAAGGTTTCTCTAGAACTCTCTCTGTAGACCAGGCTGGCTGTCCTAGAACTCTCTCTGTAGACCAGAGATCTACCTGCCTCTGCCTCCTGAGTGCTAGACCTAAAGGTGTCACCACCACCCTGCTTAGATAAATCCTTTTCAGAAAGAAGAAAGTCCTGTAGCCTCATCTTCTGGACCAACAGCTCCTAGCTATTCAGCCCTCAGGGCACGATAGGTGCTTTAGACTGAATTCCTCCAGCTCAAACAGCCTGAGGCACTGCAAGCCCAACATTTTCTCCCCTTGGATGAACCCTCTATGGAGGCTAAGCACCTGCCTTTGGCTTTCCAGCTCAGAGGTACCCTGAGCCATACCAGCTTTTCTCATTTTCCTTGCAAAGTAAATTGCCGCTGGTGGGAGGAGCTAGAGTCGGGGATGGTAAACAAGTATGTTATGTCTCTAAAATGATGAGAGCCCAGAGCTCAGCCCGTCAGTGAGAGCTGACTCTGCTGAGGGGTAGCTCTGTGAAATGCTGACCGGAGAAGCACCAGGTATGCTGGTGTCTTTTCACTATGAACTAAATGAAATTCATTTCAGAACCAAACCAAACAAAACAAAACCACTGCAAAATACCCCGGGGAAATAGAGAAAACACATGCAAAGTTCGGGGTCCCTGACTTCTCCTCGTCCCTCAGATTCTTCAATCTCCCGTTGAGCTTTTTCTCTCTGGGAGATTGACACAGAGGAAAGGAGAGGGCAGTTTTCTCTCAACAAGATTTATTGTTCATTTTTGTGGTACATATGAACTGAACCCAGGACTTCATGCATGTTAGGCAAGCACTCTAATGCTGAGCTACACACTCCTCTCTAGATGAATTTGTATAATTCACAATACATTCGATGTCCTCACCCTTCACCTAGTTTACTTCAGGGTGATAAGGGTCAAACCGTAGCCCAGCCGGTAAGGATGGGGAATGAATGGGCTTTGCTCATGAGCCGGGACAGGGTATACCTTATGTTTCTCTCAAATACAGGGTGGGCCTGGTAATCTGACAGCCTTGGCACCAACCCTCACACTACTTCCTTCCAAACATGTAGTCTAGTCCAGTTTTGACTTACTTTTGAGACAGAATCTTGCACTTGAAATCCTCCTGCCTCAACCTCTCAAGTAACTGAGATTACAATGTATTTAATGAGAAAAGGAACCAGGAAACCAACCAACGCTTTGATTGCTCAGGCTCAGCCGATCACTTCAGACAATCACAGTCAAGTGGCCTTGCACACGGCTGGCATTTCCCTGCTTCCCAGCCTGGTCTTGCTTCCTGAGAAATGGGTGCTTAGTCATCTGTGGAGATGACTCCCCTGTGCCCTTCCCCTCTGCCTGGTCTGCACTCAAGATATACCTGCCCTGGTTCTGTTTTGTGGATCTAGACCTTTGACCCAGCCACTGCCCTTGTGATTGTCCCCCAATCTTTAGACTGCTCTACAGACAGACTTTCTAATTTCTCTTCTCCCAAAGCCTAAATACGTCACTCGGCTAGGACTCGAGCTTCCATGACCGATTCTTTCTTTCTTTCTTCCTTCCTTCCTTCCTTCCTTCCTTCCTTTCTTTCTTTCTTTCTTTCTTTCTTTCTTTTCAAGGCAGGATTTCTCTGTGTAGTTTTGGAGCCTGTCCTAGAACTAATTCTGTAGAACAGGCTGGCCTTGAACTCACAGAGACCCATCAGCCTCTGCCTCTCTGCCGCAATCGCTCGGCCACCTGACTCTTTGGATGTCCTTCTGTTATACTTTGCCACAGATGGGGGTGGACTTCTTGCTCATCTACCTTTCTAGCTCCATTAAATCCAAGGCAAGGTCTAGAGTGCAAGTCTATGTCAAGCTCTCAAGTCATCGCAACTACAGCAACTACACATGGAATGACAGCCACACCTTCATTTTGCTACTAAAGTTTCCTAGTGGGACAGTTACCGGCGTTTAGAGCAGAACGCTCGCTCATCATACAAGTCTACTGTCAAAGCATAGGCCCAATGAGCAGCAGGAAGCCCGGCGGGAACAACAGAGAAAATGCACACCCAGCAAGGACAGGAACTGAGACGGGACTGGCAGGCTCGCCCACGGTGTCTTGGCCAGTGATTCTCAAACCTGGGCGTGGGGCACTGTCACCTAGCAGGCTTCTCTATTGTTTGGTTTGCTTTGGAAGGCTTCGGGGGAGGAATGGCAGCAGTGTGTCACTCTGAAACCTCAGCTGGTCTGGAACTCACCACTTAGCCCAGAATGTCCTTTTTCTTCCCCCTGGTAGTTCTCCAACTTTATTTGAGATTCAGTAGGTTAGTTCTCATCCACATTGACTGTCTGTAGATTTTTGAATGTGGTAACAGGCACGTAAGTTACCAATGTGTAGAGCTTGTTTGGTGAGTCGTCATCCTCATGATGTTTTCTGGACAAACGTACCTGGATACAGTATGGAACATTCCTTATTCTTTTGGCCCAGACGGCTTTATTGAGCCTGGTATGAATCCGCACATCTGGAGTCCCCATATCCTTCATGACAAATTTCCTTATTTCTTTGAGTACCCTAGGGGCACGCTTCTTGAAGCCCACACCTCGGATGCACTTGTGAATGTTGGTGGTGTATTCTCGGGTCACCACCTCGTTGATGGCAGAACGGCCCTTCTTCTTCTCGCCACCCTTCTTTGTGGGAGCCCTTCTGCTGGGCCCAAGCTGGCAAGGGAGTCCTTGAATTTAAGGTGATCCTCCTGCCCCAGCCTCCCCAGTGCAGAGATTACAGGCATGAGCCAGTATGTCTTGCTTGGAGCATTTTTAAAAAGCACAGACTGCTGAGTTGACCCCTAGAATTTTAGATTTTGTAGGCATGTTGTGTGGCCCAAAGTTGATTCCCTTTTTCTTTTCCTATTTATTTATTTAAAAAAAAATCTTTTCTCATTTTTACATACCAATCCAAGTTCCCTCTTCCTCCCTTCCTCTCGCTCCCCCCCCCCCACCCACTCTATTCACTTCTCAGAGAGGGTAAGGCCTCCCATGGGAAGTCAACAAAGTCTGATTCATCACTTTGAGGCAGAACCAAGATCCTCCCCACTATATCTAGGCTGAGCAAGGTATCCCTCCAAAGATAATGGGTTCCACAAAGCACTGGGAATAAGTTCTGGTCTCATTGCCAGTGACCCCACAGTCTGTCCTAGCCACACAACTGTCACCCACATTCAGAGGACCTAGTTTGGTCCCATGCTGGTTCCCCAGCTGTCAGGCTGGAGTTGGTGAGCTCCCATTAGCTCAGGTCAGCTGTTTTAGTGGGTGTCCCCATCATGGTCTTGACCTCTTTGCTCATATTATTGCTCCTCCCTCTCTTTGACTGGACTTTGGGAGCTCAGCCTAGTGCTTCATTGTAGGTCTCTGTATCTGCTTCCATCAGTTGCTGGATGAAGGTTCTATGGTGACATTTAAGATAGTTGTCAATCTGACTACAGGGCAAGGTCAGTTCAGGCACCTTCTCCACAATTGCTTAGGGTCTTACTGGGGTCATCTTTGTGGATTCCTAGGAATTTCTGTAGTGCCAAGTTTCTTGCTAGCCCCATAATGGCTCCCTCAATCAAGATATCTCTTTCCTTGCTCTTTAGTTTGTTACCATCATCATCATTTTGTGAGTGGGTCGGGGAGCTGTGGGTGCATGCACGTGTACCATCAGCTCAGGTGCGGGAGTCAGCAAGGTTGGCTCTAGTCAGGCCTGGACAGCAGGCACTTTCACTGACAAGCCATCTTGCCAGCACACATTTGCTTTCCTCAGGCACCCAGACATGTGACAGTAAACTTTAAAATACAAATATTTTTAATTTTAGTGAAGTCTGCTTACTTTTTGTCTGCTTTTATTAGTCCTGATTTTGCTGTAAGTTAGGCACATTACTGCAGTGGATCAGGCTTTGAGGGCCTTCGAAGGCCTAGCAGGTCCAGTCCCTGACCTTGAGCTTTGCAAGCTTGTATCTTTTCATTTGGTTTTGGTTTTTTAAAACAAGATAGTCTGTGTAGCCCTGGATGGCCTGGTGCTATTCACATAGTTCTAGTGCTTGGGAGGTCAGCCTGGACTCCATAGTGAGGCTCTGTCCATTTCAGTGAGAGAGGGAGGGAGGGGGCCACACACACACACACACACACACACACATACACACACACACACACACACACACACATGGAGGGGAGAGAGAGGAGGAGGAAAGGAAGAGGAAGAGGAGGGAGGGAGGGAGGGAGACAGACAGACACACAGAGGGAGGGGAAAGAGAGGAGACAGAAAAACAAACAAACAAAAAGGAAGGGCCAGTGTGATGGTTTTTATGTCAACTTGACATAAGCTAGTGTGGGTGGATATTTAATCACACTGGGAACCCTGAGTTAGTATTTATGTTAATTAAATAAAATTAACCTTGGGTAAGGAGGCTGAGTTAGCAACTAGTTCCAGAAAGTAATCCTAGAGCCTCAGAGGGCATCTGGGAGAAATAGAGAGGTGCACTAGAGGAAGTAGGGAGGGATCCCCCCCCCCCCCCCCGTTTCAGCCTTTTCTGTTTTGCTGGAGTAGAAGGACAGGCCATTTGGGGAGCTGCCAGCGAGGAGAGAAGGTTAGCTGGTTGCTACTCAACCTCTCTGAGCTGGCAGGTTTTCACCCAGCCTTTAAATCTTGAGTCTTATTTATGAATAAAACAATAGAGATTTAGTTAGAGCGGCCTGCAGCAGCCGCAGCAAGGCCCGTGCCTGCAGGAACAGAATTTCTGCAGGCTGTGGTCTGAGCAGCCGGGCCACTGCCAGAGAAGCAGGCCAGTAACGGTGATGTTGCAATTGCTGGCTGAAATAGCAGTAGATGAAGGTGCAACCACTGTGTGGAAGATAAAGCAAGCCAGTGTTGTCAGAAAGGAGGGAACCTCGAGTGAGAAAATGCCTCCATGAGAGAGGGCTGTAAAAAGTCTCAGTTTGCAGCAAAGTTCTTAATTGTGGTCCCTGGGGAGGACCCAGCCCATTGTGGAGGGGGCCATCCTGAGCTGGTGGTCCTGGGTTCTGTTTGTTTGTTTGTTTGTTTGTTTGTTGTTGTTTTGGTTTTCAAGACAAGGCTTCTCTGTGTAGCTCTAGCTGTCCTGGAACTCACTTTATAAACCAGGATGGCCTCAGAACTCACAGAGATCCACCTGCTTTGGCCTCACCGAGTGCTGGGATTAAAGGAATGAGCCACCACTGTCTAGCAGTCCTGGGTTCTTTAAGAAAGCAGGCTGAGAAAGCTATGGGAGGCAAGCCAGTAAGCAGCACCCCTCCATGGCCTCTGCATCAGCTCCTGCCTCTAGGTTTCTGTTCTGTTTGAGTTCCTTTCCTGGCCTCCTTAGATGATGAACAGCAAAATGGAAGTGTATGCCAAATAAACCCTTTGCTCCCTGCTGTGGGGGTAATGCTTTTGTACACTGTGAAGATCTGTCACTCACATCGGTTTATAAAATGCTGGTTGGCCAATAGCCAGGCAGGAAGTATAGGCGGGGCAACCAGGCTAGGAGAATCCTGTGAAGAGGGAAGGCAGAGATGCAGTCGTCATCCAGAAGCAGAGGAAGCTGGATGAGAATGCCTTCCTGAGAAAAGGTACCAAGCCACGTGGCTAAACATAGATAAGAATTATGAGTTAATTTACGTTGTAAGAGATAGTTAGTAAAAGCCTAAACAATAGGCCAAACAACTTGTAATTAATATAAGCCTCTGTGTATTTATTTGGGACTGAATGCTGTGGGACGGGATGGGACAGAAACTTCCGTCCACACCTCCCCAACTTGCTTTTGGTCATGGTGTTTCATCACAACAATACGAACCCCCTAAGACAGCCAAAGAGATGGCTCAGCAGATAAAGGCACTTTGTCACCAAACCTGCAAACCTAGGTTGGAACTGAGTCCTGGAAGCTGTTCTTTTACATATCCATATCCTTGCATGTGGAGGATCTCTCTCTCTCTCTCTCTCTCTCTCTCTCTCTCTCTCTCTCTCTCTCTCACACACACACACACACACACACACACACACACAATAATTAGTTGTTCAAGAATATGAATATACTTCACACTTCTAAGCTGTACTCAGTAAGCAGTATACTGGAGTGAACTCTAATAAAGATACTAAATCTATGTTATATACTCAGTAAGCAGTATACTGGAGTGAACTCTAATAAAGATACTAAATCTATGTTACTTTCCCCTTATTTTTGGTGGTGCTGGGATTGAACTCAGGGCCTCAAGCCTACTAGGCAAACCCTCTACCAGTAAGCTATACCACTAGCCCTCAGAATTTTTGAGGGGAGGGGTTCAAGACAAGATTTTGGTGTATAACAGTCCTAGGTGTCCTGGAATTAGCTCTGTAGACCAGGCTGGCCTCAAACTCACAGAGATCTGCCTGTCTCTACGAAATTAAAGGCATGAACCACCACTTCCCGGCTAGCATCTTTGATGAACCTATTTAATTCTTATTATATATATATGCTTAAAAAATTTTGAGACAGTGTCTCACACTATGTAACTGAGGTGGGCAAAGAATTAATTCTGTGGCCCTTGTTGGCTTCAAACTTAAGACTTTAACCTTTCAGTATTATAGGTATGAGCCACCATGCCCTGCTCTAATTTACATTGTGAAGAAGATGTTCACTATTGCTCAGGGTGACCTGAAACTCCTAGTTTCAAAGAGGTGTGTTAGCCTCGGCCTCATAAGTGCCACCATCCCCAAAGCCTATATGTTTTCTCTTTTCATACTATGATAGAAAGCAATATGGTGTGTAAGCATTTCTTCTAAATAGCAGGTACTGTTTAGTCAAAGGAAGCAGTTGGGAACTAGAATAACTTCGTTTTAACACTCAGTCTAGTTTAATCCTTTAATCTTGGTGTCATTCATAGCAATGTCTTCCTAGTCCTTGTTTATCCTCCTCAGACTTGTCCATCCTTGTCCTCGGGCCAACACTACATAGGAGCTGAGTCAGAGGGATGGCCCCAGGGACTCCCTGGGTGTTTCTCTGATCACCACCTCTTTGTTCCTGGATTTCTAACAAAGTCTAACCCTCCACCCAGTACAGGCCTCATTCAGGAAAGAGGTATCTCAGAAAGTTGGGTCAATAGGTGAAAAAGCAAGAATAGGTAGAGGTGGGAGGGTCAGAAGTTCAAGGCCATCCTTGGTCACGTAGCTAGTTCAAACCAGCCTGGGATACAAAACAAAGCAAAGCAAGTGGGAAGGAAGTAGGGGTCTGACTTCTCCCTGTTATCACAGGGAATGATGATGGGGCCAGCACCCTGATGGACCAGTCTCCATGCTGGGAGAAGGGATGCTGGCTACAGAGTGAACATAAGGAAGAAATCTGTGAATGGCAAACACATGCACTGTGTCCATGCAGGGCGTGTAAGATGCCAGGTGTTCAGAAGAGATGTGGTGAGCACCAGGTCAGGAGCAGAAGAAGGCGCAGTCCCTACGAAGGAGAAGTTCGTCCCATCCCTGGTCAGCTCCTTCCCCCAGGGAGTTCCAGCCTGCTGGTTCACACAACCTGGAATAAACTGGGGATGCTTACAGGCAGCTCACTCAGCTCACCGTGGTCTCGACATTCATAAAGAAACACAAAATATGCTTGTACCATGCAATGTTATTTTTTGGCGTCTTCTCTCCGTACAAAGAACACCAGTAAGGTACCTGTCGTGATTCTTAGCTTCGTGCCACCTCTTCCAAGCTCGCTCTCACAAGGGATATGAACAAAGTATTGGAGAACTGCACGTGACTGACGCATGCACAGAGTTTAAGCTTTGCCAGTTCAATGAGATGCAGTAAAAAGCGACGAAAGAGCACTTTGCAATGACCACATTGAAGGGGATTCATATGTTGACAAGGATTCGTCTGTTGTCAAGGCTGTAGGAGAAAGGACATTGCCTTAAGTTTCTGTTGCTGTGATGAAACACCGTGACCAGGGCTGGAGAGATGGCTCAGTGGTTAAAAGCACTGACTGCTCTACCCGAGGACCCAGGTTCAATTCCCAGCACCCACATGTCTGTAACTCCAGTTCCAGGGTACCTAACACCCTCACCCAGGCATACATGCAAGCAAAACACTAATGTATATAAAAGAAAAATGAAAGAAACACCATTACCAAATGTAACTTAGGGAGGAAAGGATTTATTTGGCTTACATATCCCAGCTCAATTACAGTCCCTCACTGGAGGAAGTCAGGGCAGGACTCAAGCAGAGACCTCAGAGAAATGTTTCACACTGGCATCTCTCCATGGCTTGCTCAGCTTGCTTTCATGCTTTTTAAATATTGATGTGGGAGTGTCATATATCAATCTGTTGATTTCATTGGTTAAGTTATAATAAACCAGCTGCTTGGCCTCATGGCTTGGAACATAGATGGGAGGAGTAAACAGAATAGAATTCTGGGCGGAAGAGGAAGTGAGGTCAGACTCTGCTCTGCTCCCGGAGAGACCCGACAGCTCTGCTGGAGCAGAGACGCCATGCTCAGCTCTCCCAGGCAGCTGCAACCCACGATGGACTTAGGCTAGAATCTTCCCGGTAAGCGCACCTTGGGGTGCTTACACACATTATTAGAAATGGGCTAGTCCAGGTGCGAGAATTAGCCTGTAAGGGCTAGAGTTCATGGGCCAAGCAGTTCTTTAATGAATACAGTTTGTGTGTTGTTATTTCGGGCATGAGCTAGCCAAGCGGCCGGGGTGTTGGGGACGCAGCCCCGCCGTTCCTATTTCAACAAAATATCTTTTTATTTATATATACGTTGATGGTCTGCATGCATATATGTCTGTGTGAGAGTGTCAGATCCCCTGGAACTAGAATTACAGACATGTGGGTACTGGGAATTAAACCCAGATCCTTTGGAAGAGCAGCCAGTGCGCTCAACAACTGAGCCATCTCTCCAGCCCACTCAGCTTGCTTTCTTATACAGCCCAGGACAACCTTCCCAGGGGCGGCACCACTCACAGTGGACCAGTTCCTCCTACATCAATCATTAATCAGGAAGATGCCCCACAGACTTGCTGACAGATCGGTCTGATGGAGGTGTTTTCTCTCTTCTCAGATGACCTTCGCTTGTGCTAATTTGAATGGGGAGCGAGTGCATCCCTGTATGAACGAGCATTCATGACATGAGTGTGGCCATGTCAAGGGTGCCAGTGCTTCCGGCTCAGGAGCGGCCAGGTCTTCTCCTGGTAGAAGAAGTTGACCGAGTAGAGATGTTGACCATTGGCTGACGGTTAGCTAAAGACAGAATGTGCAAAAAGTATAGAGCTCAGCTTCCACCGCAGCGATGACTGGGCAGCTCCCTGGGACTGCTCTTGACAGAGACCCACATAGATTAGCTAAGTCATAGCCTCCTTTGTGCTATCCTGGCTGCGGGAGCATCTCCATCCCAGCACACATCCCACCCCATCACAGCTTACATTACTTGTGTCTGTCTGTCTGTCTGTCTGTCTGTCTTAATCTCATCTTACTTCCAGTCAACTTTCCAAGGTCCAGCTGTGAGGGCTGTGGCAAAACTGAAACAAATAAAAACCAGAAAACCAACTAGCACAGGCATCATCTTGCAGTTTTGAAGGCCATTCTGGCAATAGAAGCCTAAAATTTGAAACTCTGTAACCTCTAAGCAATAAATCTTCCCCTCCCCCCCCCCCCAGTACTGGGAAGTGAACCCAGGGCGTTCATGTGAGGCAAGTTCTCCTGAGCTAAAACTTCAACCTGCCCCATAAATAAATATGATCCAGGTCTGGATTTAACTTATTTAAATCCTCTGTGTTTGACACAATATGTACATACAACTCACGATAAGAATATCAAATCTAAAGTTAAACTGTGAACGTACTAGCCCCGAAAGTGTAAAGGTAGCAGTTGAAGGAGGCAAGAATCCCGACTGACCAAAACTGCTCTGCATGTTTGTTAATCCCACAGATGAGAGGAGGAAGGCCACCAACCCAAACCATGGCCATGTTAATCAAAGCATGCAGTTAATTGAAGCAACCTTTTAAAATTGTGTACATGGGCTGTCTCTCCCTAAAGGTGGGGATTCAAGAGATCAGCACTGTACCTGGGTAAGATGAGGGTTTTTATAGTTCAAGTTCAAGAGTAAGGGGGTCTCCAGATGGAGCATTTGACAGGCAGGGTTACAGAAACGGAACATAAGCATGGCAAGTTGGTCATAACAATCTCTTGAAACAAAGGCATGTTTGCAAGGTGGTCATAACAAGGCCTGCTGTCCAACCGTAGCATTCCCGGGTGAATGCCGTGACTTTGGGCCACCCTCTGGTTGCCATGTGATCCCCCTCGGGGAGAGCCTCTTGGGAAAACTGCTGATGCGTGTTGAGTTGCTGCCTGAATGAGAATTTGGGACTGTTAGGAGGGATGACTTAAGATAATCATTATAAGAATATTGGGGTCCTAAGTGCATGATCTAAGAGTGCCTGTTTCCTTAGAGTTTGGGTAGGAAAGGGGAAAGGGAAAATCCATAGCTGTTTCATAAGGAACCCAGACAAGAGGAGATTCTTCCCAAATTCGACAGGGTGAGATATGCCAGTTTACGCTATAGAGAAGAAAGGGTCCCTGAACCCTTACATTTAGAGCTCATGTTAGTCTGGGAATGTGAGGTCCCCAAAATTTAGTAGTAGATCTCTAAAAGCCACAGGAAGGAAGACAAGGTGTTCATATTATCCATCTATCTTCATTACTACTCTTTTGCTGTGAGGAGACACCTTGACCAAGGCAACTCATAAAAGAAAGCGCTGAACTGGAGGCTTACTTACAAGGTCAGAGGATGGCTGGGCCTGGTATGGGCTCTTGATTATTCAGAGCCAACCTCTTGTGACACACCGACTCCAACAAGGCCGCTCCTCCTAATAACTTCCCAAACAGTTCATCAACTGGGAACTAACCACGGAAATATATGAGCCTCTTGGGGGCCGTTCTCATTCAAACCGCCACACCATGCAAGCATTGACCTGACAGATGGGTGGATTTGTCTTGCTCTGGGAAGAGTCTAATTTGCTCAGTTCCACAGCCCAGTTATCCTGTCATGAGAGTCTTTCATTAGCAGATGCTCTCATGACTTTTAATTGTCTAACCTGTGCCCACTGACTGGCAGGCAACACAAGTTTTAAAGACAGGAGAAGCAGTCAAGCAACGGCCGTACACAGAGAGGTCCCCATTTTGGGAGGCAATCTATTTCCTGACTGGATAAAAGTAGGCGATTTTCACCTTTAATTTGTGTTTCTTTCCCTTTTAATCACCTGCCTGACTCTGTAGGCAGGTTGTGAACCACTCAAGCAAAGCTACAGAACAAGCAATAAATTGTGTTCTTAATGTTTGAATGTCAGGGCTAGACATCCGTAACTTAGACACTTGTTAAATTAAAAGAAAACAAGAATCAAACGGGAGAGAAAAACACTTAAAATTCAGATAGCAGCGGAGTTAGACTCTGATTTAGAAAGCAGAAACAATCCAAGGGCAAGACCTAGCAACATTCCTTCCGATTCCCGTGAGACTGGATGGAAAACGCAGGAGAAACAGAAAGGGGGAGAGGAAAAAAGATTCTTTTCTTTTTTTCTCCAGTGGCTGCAAGAGTTTGGTTTTGATCTACAGACTCGAAACAACAGGAAAAAGGAGGGAGATTGCAAGGGATACCTTGTTTGTGGCTGGCGAGGGCACCTGCTTCTCCTTCGCCTTGCCATCATTTTCGTCCCTGGCGAAGCAGCCATCTGCTTCGATCCACTTTCCCCCAGGGAACTGAGGCCTGGCATCCATCAGCCTCACCTGTGTATCCTCTGCTATCCGCGGGGCAGACATGGGGGTCCGGCTGTAGACCAGTGGCTCTCTGACCACACTGGCTAGCTCAGCTGGCCATCAGCTACAGACTTCAGGATGAAAAGCGTAGAAAGTAGTGACGGCACTTTTAGCAGTTAGGGGGGAAAAAGGATTTTTCTCACATTATCCTGGCTGGTCCTAACCTCAGGGGTCAGTCAGGGTCAAGGTGAAATGTTTCCAGGTTTTTGGCCTCTTGTCCAAAGAGGTGAAAACAAGGCTCACACAGATTGACAAAAGTCGCAGGAAAGCTTTCTCTGTAGCACAGTGATAGTACAGATTGTAGAGGGATGTGCTAGCAAGACTGACAGCGGGCTACATAAGGGCCCAGCTATGGTTTGGGTCTTCCTTTTATGGGTTTCAAGAAAAGGATGAATTTGGTTTCTAAGGGGCATAATGAAGGTAGTTCTTTGTTCTGATGTATAGGATATATGATGTTCCTACTGTTCGTGCCCATTCCCTTAATACATATTGGGATGCTTTCCCCATATGCATATGCATGGGATGGGCAAATAGGGGAGTCCCCCCGGAAGTTCACTTGTAGACACAGCTTTGCCTTACTGAGCTTGCACCCCAAGTCAGCTCAGGCCAGAACAGCCTTTCTGCTCTTCATACCTGGATGTATTGGGAACGTATGTGTGATGGTTATTAGTGGTAGAGAAGCCTGCACTACCGTTCAAAGAGGGGTGTTCATGTGGCGCAGTGCAGGCAGGGCCCAGCATTGCTAGGTGCACTGTTCCGAGAGGGGTCTGCTCACCTCGTATGCAGCTAAAGGAGGATTACTAAGGGGGGGCGGGTAACCCCAGACCAGATAGGTTTGCCAACCACTGATCCCTTTTATTTGCCGGAGCAGAGGCAGTTTCCACCGTGACTGGGGGTGTTCTTACAGGACCCTGTAGACATGTTAAAACTCTTAGGACCAAAACATTTTAAAGGTGGCAACATTACTGTGTGTTCGCATATAAAACAAGAAATGTAGGGCTGTTCTTCAAGAGGAATACAGAGAGAGCACCTTCTCGAGAAGAATGCAGGAGACCCAAAAGCCCTGGTTTCCTTTAAGGAATGATGACTACGGAATGAGAGAGATAGAGACAGCCTCTTTCAGGGTTAGACACATCACTGTTTATTTTTTTAATATTTATTTATTTATTATGTATACAATATTCTGTCTGTGTGTGTGTGTGTGTCTGCAGGCCAGAAGAGGGCACCAGACCTCATTACAGATGGTTGTGAGCCACCATGTGGTTGCTGGGAATTGAACTCAGGACCTTTGGAAGAGCAGGCAATGCTCTTAACCACTGAGCCATCTCTCCAGCCCCCACATCACTGTTTAGAATCTTCAAACAGTTACATTCATGACGGAAAGAAAGAGCACAGGGCATGGAACTCAAAAGCTCACAGAGGATGAAGATGCTTCGAACGCCCTTCACGTGCTGTAAACTCTCTATCTGATGCTGCTCAGATGCAGGATGCTCTGCTTCTGAAACATTTCCGGGGTTTGGGGAGACGGCCAAGTCAGTGAAGTACCTGCCACACAACTCGAGGACTTAAGTTCGGATTTGCAGCACCCACATAAATTGGGGCACTGTGGTGCATGTCTGCAGCTCTAGTGGAGGAGAGGCCATGGAGGGACGCGCAGATGTCTGGAGCTCACGGCCGGCCAGCCAGCCAAACACACTGTTGAGCTCTGAGCTTAGAGAAAGACCCTATCTTGAAAAATAAGGTGGAGAATGATGGCAGGAAATGTCTTCACACATCCATGCAGGCATGTGCAAACACATACAATCACATGCATACCGCACAGAGACACACAGACACATGATGGACACGTGGGAGGCTGAGGCGGGAGGATTGCTGTGAGCTTGAAGTCAACACAGGCTACTAAATAAGTTCCAGCCATGCCTGAACCAAAGAATAAAACAACGTCTGAGAACAAACAAACAAACAAGCAAACCGCCAAACTAAATCAAACCCGAAGCATTGGCTTGGAAGTTACAGATAAGTGACAGTTTTAGCGGCCACCACTACACGGCTTCATGCTCAGCTCTGCGTGCCACGCGCTCAGCTCTGGGTGCCACGTGCTCAGCTCTGCGTGCCACGTGCTGTCCTTAAATCATGACCAACCAGAGAAAGAAGGTCTCTGTTAGTACCAAACTGCAAGGCAAGCAAGGGGCTCCCTCTGTGTCCTTGTCTGTGTGCTTCAGAGGCTGGGGTTTGGGTTGGGTGCAGAGCGCTTGTCTGCCTAGCACGCAGAGGCCACAGGGTGGGGTGGGGCACAGGTCAGAAAGGCAGACTGGCAGTCTAGGACTCTCACACTCTCCTCCGCAGGTTCTCAAAGAATTACAACACAAGGAATTATAGCTAATACTAACATCCTCCTCAGCTTATTCTCAAAGCCAGCTGCCAATCAATGAAGATAGGAGACACTCCCTCGGAGCCCTTGCCACTGTTCAGGACCAGGCCTTGTGCTCTGAAGGACAAAGGCCACATCCAGAGGAAGGCTAGACTTGTTAGAACAAGAGAAAGACCCGGAGGGCAGCTCCTGGATGAGGAGTCACTGGACCGGCCCCAGGGAAGATCCACCCCTCAGCAACACTTTCTCTCCTGTTGGTCTGTAACCACAGAATGAAAAAGCTGGCCGGCAAAGATGCATGGAAAGCAACAGAGGAGGTCAATGAAGTCGATGTTCAGTGTAAGAGGGCAGCTGCTAGCTGAGGTCAGCCAAGGCAAGGAGAGGGGTGTAGTAGCGAACCTCCACCTTCCCACCTTACACAGCAAACACCTTTGCCGGGACCACAAATGGAGATTTCACTCCTCGCGGAGAGTGTATAGAAGGTCTTGCTCATGTCTGCCTCTGTAGTGATATTTCATTTGTATTTTAATAAATAAAGCTTGCCTGAAGGTCTGAGAGTAAAACAGCCCCACTGGTCAGCCTTACAGGCAGTGGTAACACACACCTTTAATCCCAGTAGCCACACTGGCATACACCTTTAATCCCAGTAGCCACACTAGTTGCCATAGAAACTGGGCGGTGCATGCCTTTAATCCCAGCCCTAGAGAAGATTTTAAAATGGGAGGAGACAGTTCTCAGACACTGTCTCATTCTGAGATTCCTGGAGGCAGGATCGCCATTTCGGACTAAGGTAGAAGTAAGAGCCAGTGGCTGGCTGTTTTGTTTTTCTGACCTTCAAGTTGAACCCCGATTTCCGTCTCTGGATTTTTATTAATCGTGCTACATACCTTTCCTACAAGCGTCCTTTTCCGAGGGTCCAGGCTAAGTAATGCCCCTTCTTGTAAATAGATTTGTTTTTATTCAGACCTTTTCATTATCAACACATTCTAAAAGTCAGTCTCTTTTCATTCTGTTCTAATTAAAACGTATTGATCTCGGTGTGTTAATTTCCTTTGAGCTTCTGGCTGGGATGACTTTGACACATCTGGGAAGAACAACCTAGCTGAGAAATTGCTTCCATCAGATTGGCCAATAACTAAGTCTGTGGGCCATTTTCTTGACGAATGGTGGATGTGGGTTCCTGCCTCCAAGTTCTTTCTTGAGTTTCGGCCTTGGCTTCCCTCAGTGTACTGTGATTCAGGATACATAAGCTAAATTAATCCTTTCCTCCCCAAGTTGGTTTCATTCATGGTGTTTTATCACAGTAACAGAAAGCAGGCTGAGGCAGGCTGACCCTCCAAAGAAACCTGACTCCCCTTCCCCAGCAGCCAGCAGCTGCTAACAGCTCCTCTGCTAGCACGGGGCATCATGAGCCCCTCCCACATCCCTGCTGGAAATTTTGTCATGCTTGATCTTGTGAATGCAGTAACAGCCACTGTGAGTTCCTGTGTACAGAGGCCCTGTCATGTCCAACACAAACTGCTCCCCTGCAGACACCGACGCCCCGTGACAGTAAGAGCGACCCTCTCTGAAGAGTCCGGCTAGATTCCTGACACTGTGCTCTGACTGTATCCCTGACACTGGGAATTTTATAAGAGAAAGCGATATATTTGAGACTTGTTTGTTTGGTTTTCGTTTGCTTGGTTTTTTAGACAGACTTTTTCTGTGTGACAGCCTTAGCTCTCTGGAGTGTATGTGTTGTTGTTAGTGACTGTGCTCCTGTCCAAGCAACCGCCATCTTGCAAACGGATTAAGTCAGCTTTCTCGTTGGCTGCTTACACCCCCTGAGCCTCTAGCAACTCAATACCACTTGTTGTAACATCAAACTCTTAGCTGCACATGGCCTCTGGCAGGGACTGTACCAGACAGGTCAGGAAGACTAGGGGGGGAAGCCCTCATCTCAGCTGGGCAAAGGTTTTCCAGGTATGGCGTGTTGTGGGGAGCGCACACACACCCCTGTAGATAACCACTCACCTATGCTCTTAAGGTTCCCAATAAACTCAGGATTGCCCAGAATGAATTTTGGTGGACTCTTGTCTCAGTTTGCCTCTGGGCATTTAAGAGAAAGGGTGGATGCTAGATCCTGCTGGCATCCTCCTGGGAGGGAATTTTAACAGCTGACTGGACTCGGCATCTCGCGTATTCTGAGCTAGCACCAGATCATTGACCTTATCCCCCGCAGCCGTCTTTATCTCGTCTGGTTATAACACCTGCCCTGGGAGGTCAGCATTACTAGAATGCCCACCTTATAGACTAGGAAACCGAGGCGTGACAAAGTTAATGAACAACTGAAAAATTAGCGCTGGGACAAAACAGTCTGGTTCAAGCTTGGTGGTGAAAGTCAGGCTAAAGCCAGTGCACTCTAAGAACACACTTGCCAGTGGGCAGTGGTGTGCACGCCGTTAATACCAGCACTCAGGAGGCAGGCAGAGGCAGGCAGAGTTTGAAGCCAGCCTGGTCTACAGAGTTAGTTCCAGGACACCTAGGGCAACACAGAGAAACCCTGTCTCAAAAACCAAATCAAAACAAACCAAACCAAAAGCCCTGAATTAAGACACTAGCCAGGAAGATGGCTCCTGGACAGCATGCTGGC